TAAAACAGAAGAAAACAGAAGAAAAATACAATTACTCCAGAGACATTTTTTAGTAAGGTTCTTCTTTTGCACGATCTGCTAAGTTAGCACTACAGTCTTAGTTGTGGCACCGACCAACTGATTTTAGGTGGGGGATATGTCCTCCTTCTCCTCTGGCAGTTTTTCAAATGCTTTTCATCACCTATCACCAGTGGAGATATATACCTGAATGCCCAGACCTGCAGAGCCTTGTCCTGCCCTTAACAGACTGGGGTGGCCAATCCTGTACAGAACACAAAATCAGCATCCCAACTATAAGTGGAACTTGCTTGTTTTGGGTTGACCAGAGGATGCCAGCTTAGTTGGACAGGGCAGTCAACCGGAGAAATGCTGGTGAAAAGGATGTGGGAGCAACTTTTTATTGTAAAAGGTGATATATGTTTATCCCAATTCCATTCCTATAACCCAAAACATGAGAAGACAGTTGGCCAAGCAGGCCTCCCTACTTCGTTTTCTTGAAGGTTTTTTAGCTTAATACAAGCCCCAAACTGGAAACTTTTCTGCCAGTAATACTTAAAGCACTTTGAAAATGCTGAAAAATAAACTCCAGATTCTTCCCCCACCTGCCTTAAAAAAATGCAAATAAAATGTGAACAGTCTTGTTGTCTATATTTGTTTTCTCATTTACTGAGGGAGGGCTGGGGTTCTCACAGGTATTTGAATAGTTGCACAAGCTCTGTGTAGTGGTCTAACCGAATTAAATGCAACAACTTTAAAAAAAATAAAATATTGGTTTCAGATAGGCTATTTCTTGGAGTGAGAATCTTGGACACACTATTTGCCCTCCTCTCCACTGCATAATCAACTGGTGCCCCCTACTTTGTTTTCTCAAACTGACCTAATTTTTAATTGTAATTTTCTCAGAACTATTTATTCTCCTCCTGTCAGTGTGCTTGATCTTTATAAACCTTAATCATTTGTTCCCCTTCAGTTACATCTCCTCACAACAATTTACATCAGACACATAAACAGAACTCCATCTCCTATTTGTGACAGAAGTTGAAGAAAGTTCATGTTACAACAACTTAGCCTGAAAAACATATCCTGAGTACTGATTGTATGCAGAGCAACTGCTTCAAAAACTGAAAATTAAAAAGCCTTAAAACTAAGTGAGTGGAAAAGATCCTCAGAAAAGAGAAAAAAAATTCTATAATATTGAAGTCACAAAATGAATGGAATGGGAGATTTTTTTTCTGTCGTGATATGCTGCTAGTGATAATTGTACCTTGAAGATAAAACTGTTTCCCAAAAGATCAATCTATTTGTACGTGGTTTTTTTTTGCTTTAAATATTTCAGAATTAAATAAATGCAAAATAGTTGTTCCTCAAATGACTCTCCTCCTGCCATTAATTAGGAAAAAAGTTTGCTAAACTGTAGATTAATTTTCATTAAGTAAGTAGTACATAGAAAAATTAACCTTCATGATAGAAAATCTTCCTTTAATATTTTGTTCTTAAAGATTTGGAATAAGAAATTGTAAACGAAATTACTCCCTGAGCTTGGTCCGTATGAACTGGGAGCCTTAAAAATCTGAGGGGTGACACAAGCAATAGAAAAATGCTGACCAGTTTAAGGATAATGCTTATTTCTATATTTGGGCAAAGTCTTCACAGGTGAAACTCTATTTCTCTTTTTTCTTCTCTCTCCCTCTCTGGAATCTGGTAATACATTAATTCATACTGGAGAAACAAATATGCTTAAACTTTCCTTGTTTTTTTTTTTTCATTATTTTGTCCTTTCTACACACGGTTTCTATCTCTTCCTGGAAACAGCAAACTGTTGAAAGATAAAAGAAGTCACACATCTCAAACATTCCCCCACACCCTTCCAAAAAGAAAGACTATAGAGATTTATGTTAAAGATATTCGAAGGTGTCAGCAGCTATGCCATTGAAAAACAGTTGCACACAGAAGAAAGGTCATCTATAAGAAAATTAAAATAAAAACTATCACCTGTAAGTGAATTGCTCGGGCTAGGTGTTCTGTATTGTGACAAAAATATGAACAGAACCGCCACTTCTGGAAAGGTTTAAGAAAAAAGATAATGGTAGAGAGAAAAGTAAACAAATTTGTAAGGAGGAGCAAATGGAAATAGGAAAAGTCCCTAGGAATGGTTTTATTTTTTGCACCCCAATCTTCAAATTTTCTAGGCAGCTTGGAGTTGTGCTTGAGGACAATCCAAGATAGAGGGAACCAGGCACGCTGAGGAAGGTGTGGGCTGCTGTAGCCCCTTTGGGAGAAGAGTAGAGGCATCCCTTTTTATGGTTTTCCTCCTTTCTGAGGCTTGGAATAATAAACTCAAGTGGCTGCCTGTCAGCCCCTGTCCATCTTCTTTAGCAAACTTGACATAGTGGAAGAAATATGACACGTGAATTATTAAAGAGGAGCTAGTTGACTTTTAACCCTGGTTGCTTTTCTCAGACCCCATTACCTGCAAATTCATCTGACAATACACTGAAAGAATTATAGGGTGTGCAATCTAGGAAGAAAAGAGGAGAAAGCAGAGTTAGGAATTTGTGAAAATATCAGGGAAAAACAGGATAAAGCATTACCTTACTATCTGTGACACTCAAGGGACCCAGTTATATTTCTAACAAACCACTCCTATAAGAAGGGGGTCAGTTTCTCTATCCAAGAAGAAAGAAGAAATAGATTAAAAGGATATTGAGCACTATTCCTGATGCCTACTCCTTTCAGACAGAGCTAGTTAGGATTTTAAATTTCTTTAACATGACTTAAATCAATTCTTAACTGTATGAACAAGAATCCTATAAAGAATTCTTCTCCTCCCCCCTCCTTCCTTTTTGATACAACTCCTGCCTTTGCTCGGTTGCAAAAACTTCTCAAAAGGGCAGAAATATCCTATGTATACCCTGATAGCAAGCCCACAGACCCTTCCTAAGTTAGGCTTTTGCAAAACTTTAGAGAATATCCAAAGACTACTTAATTTGCACAACTGATAAGATTATAAAAATCAGCAATAATCATTCAGGCATTCAGACAAAAGTTTTTGGTGCTAATTAAGCGGCCATTATCCAGTCGGGTTGATGGGGTTGAGTAACTGGGCAGCTGTTGATAGAATAAAACAGGAAGGAATGCATTGAAAGCTTAGGGGGTTTCTTCTTTTAAAATGAACAAGAAAGAAAGGCACAATAAAATAATAGTAAGAACTATTATTATTGTTTAGTCCCTTGGGTGTAGATTTGTATATCCTGTTGCCAAGGTGAAGGTAATAATTGAATCTATCCTAAATCTGAGTGATGGAGTAGTCAGAAATGACTCCATCTGACAGAAGAGCCAGGAGGCAAGTGATGGATACTATTGTCCAAACGTGACCCTCCATTAACACTACCTATCAGCATCTGGATCCTGTCACCAGTTCCCATCCCAGAGCCAAGAGGGCTGCTTGGCATATTCTAAGCGCTTCGAGGGCTTCCATGCTGTGCTCAACCCCACATCAACTAAATGGGTGGAGAGACTGACCTAAACCCTTCCCCCTCTATCTCCACTCGCCTTATTTCCCCTCTCCAGGCCCATTGTTTGGCAGGTGCTGGCAATTTGCTCCTTATCTTGCCTCTGTTTACGAGGGCTTTTTATTAATAACAAAGGGAGAAATGGTATTAATATTAATTAACACCATAAAATGAAACAGTTTTGGGAATCCACCAAGTGAATAATCTCATCGTCTAATTGGAGCTGGACAGAAAGGGGAGGAGGTGGATAGAGGAAGGGGAGGGAGGAGGGGGAGATACAGATGACCTACTGGGTGACAGGCACAGGTTGGAAGGGTGACATTTTATTGTAAGCCTCCCAATGAAAGGAAGAAAAGGAAGGGACCAGTCAATTTAATGCAGGGACCAAGAGTGCAAGAGTGTTGCTAAGAGACAGAGATGCTGGTAAAGTTCTATCAGAAGCACTACTCTGACCTTATGCAAATAGAGGCGGCCAACTCTTTGTGGAACGGCTGAAAATTCCACCCCCTGTGTCACCAATACCTGGCATCGAGCCTTTTATTCAAATGTTCTCTAAAAACACACACAGAGGATGTGACAAAGCATGACACATTTAGGAGCTTTGACGAAAAAAATACCACACAAAGAAAATGGGGGGAGTAGTAATAATAGTAATAATTTTTAAAACTCAGGGGGAAAAAAATCAACACTAGATCTTCCTGTGGAAATGTCACCCATCTTTACCTTCTGGCACTGTCATTTTCCTTTAGCTGAAAAGTAACCTAAAGATTCAGAAATTGCCCTCTCATTGCAGAAATAGAAGCTTATTAAGATACTGCAGTGATGCTCAAAGTACCATCATTAATTTACACCCTGAGGAGTGTGAGGAGGGGATGGTATGAGGGTGGTTGGGAAGGGGACAAGAAAGCTTGGTGCAGACAACAGAAATCACAGTATATCCTGTCCCCCAAACAAAATGAAGGATGTCTTTCCTCTAACTCTTACCTACCCACTCTAGGACAAGGTTAAGTGCAAAAACATAGAAGCGTGGGAAAGTTGGTTCTCCCATGAAATTGAATGTTCTCACAGTTAAAACAGGAAGGTCAAATACACTTCAGTGAGCTAGTGGCACTTGAGCACCTGCTGTGGAAGGGTCTCTGGTCAGCCTCAGACAGGATAAGAAAATGGGTATGCATGTGTACCCTCTTGCCTGCACTGCTCTTGGCTGTGCATTAATGTTGGAAGGTGAACTTAGAAGTGGAGCTGACACATCTGACCCCTGGGCTTCACAGAGTAGCCTTGAGAGGTTTGAGGAGAGAAACTGGATCCAATCACTCAGAATGGCCCCACTCCGTGATACTGAATGTGTCGCCTTCTGGAGTACTTTTGGGCTTGGGCTTTGGGCAGAAGTACTTCCAAGTGTCCAGGCCAAGTTCTCTCTCTCTCTCTCTCTCTCTCTCTCTCTCTCTCTCTCCCTCTCTCTCTCTCTCTCCCTCCATTCCACTCCAGGTTATCGTTGGTGCTTCTCTACTGGGTTGTACATCACACAAAATAAGAACCAAATTCCCCAGAATCACCTTTCCCCTACGCAAACCACTTGCCTACAATGTGCCAATCCTGAAAAGCTGAACATCACGGACAGAGAAATTTGATTTTCACAGTTCTTGGATAAGTTCAATCCTTTGGGGTCACCCTTGGGTTTTCAGTTTAGGGAACTTCTGGGGCATCAATGCTGGAGATGAGTGAAGACCTGGCTAGAGGAGGGAAGGGGCTTTCCCATTGCCACACATCTGCCCTCTTGCAGCCCCAGGAGCCCCCTCCACCCATGACTATCCTCAGCCAGAACTCAATACAACCTGGAAATTTCTTTCCGGATCCTTACTCCTCACATTAGCCGTGGAGGAAGAGAAACATTTCCTATAAGCGAGGGAAAAGCATCACACACAACTTGAAAAACTCATTTAGTCAGCCTCGTTTAAACCACTCCATTCCCTCCCTCTGTTTTGATTTCAATATTGATAAAATGCCCACTGTTTCACATCTTTATGATAATAGTTGCAAATGAATACATTTTTCGACTTGGGGGCCTTTCAAATGTTCAGTGGCAAGTAACTTCCCAGGGCAACTTCTCCCTAGGATCCTCCCTCCTCCCCTTTTAATGGCGGGACTTTTCATAATGTGCACAATACTATTAAAATTTCATATTAGCAGTGTGTATGGTGAACTTTGTAATGGGAAATTCAATAGCTGCTGTAAATATTAATGGAATATGAAATGAAGCCACAGCCTCGACCAGCCCTGACAGTAAAACGGAGTGAGCATGTGGCGGCCCCGGGGCGAGAGAGGCCTTTCCTCTTGTCGCTCTCGCTTTATTACATTAGCACGGGCCTCCCCGCGCCGGCGTGGGCTCTGAAGCCGAGGTGCCGGGTCACCCATGACAAATGTCCCCGTGTCTCGCCAACAGGCCCCGCCTGGCCCTGCCACTCCATCTGCCCAACAGGCCCCCAGAGAGTGCTTGCGGGTGTCAGTTTCAGGTAAAGAGCTCTTGAAAGGGCAAAGTCTCCATAAAGGTTGCAAGGGTTCCCTGGGCTTCCCCAAGTCTCCGCAGCTTGGGTCCCCGGCTACAGTAGGAGGGGTTCGTATCGGGGTGGGGGAGGGAAGAACCCCCAACACGCGTACCAACCACCCTGGGCGGGATTTCTGGGCTTGAAAACACTATTAGGAAAGCCAGATTCCAACCTCCCACCCGCACCTCGATCCCTTCCCACCTTCTGCCCAAAGGATCCACCTCAGAATTGGGTGTCGGGCTGGGTAAGGCTTGTGGGAGGGGACAGGGGACTGTTTGGACTGGGATTTGGCGCCAGCTGCCACCACCTTCCCCAATCCCCGATCCCCGTGCTATGCGGAGTTGCAAACTGCCCCCACCGAAACCGGCCTGTCGAGGAAGCTGGAGACGCTGGGGGACAGCTTATTTGCAGGGATCTGTGGACATTGGGACCCTAGACCCTGGACCTCCAGCTCAGCCTTTGCCCTGGCGTGAATCTCCTGGGAACCCCAGGGGAGGGTGTGCGTCGGCTCTGGAAGGAACAGCGCTAACTGGGGCCACGGGCGCCCAGATGGGGTGGGTGCTGAGCTGAAGTCGCCGCCAAGGAGGGTCCTGGGAGGCGAGGCGTGCTGACAAACGTGGCCGTCAGCACCTAGCTGCCCCGACGAGTTATTTCAACAGGCTGGGAGAGATCGGTATTTGAGTGGCAGGCGACGCCTTTCCTCACTCCCAGTATTTATGTTGTACTGACGGCACTTAGGAGAACTTAGTTTTAGATGGGACATTAATCTTAACTTGTTAAGAGACAGGCTGTCAACATTTACCAGGGGCTTTCCCACTCTCGACGTCCGAGGCCCTCCCTTGGAGTCCAGCCGCTGCCCACCTGGTCTGGGCGCCGGGTGTTGCTGGTCCGCGTTCGGCAGAGGCGGGGAGCCCCAGGTGAGCAAGGTGAGCGGTGGAGAGAGTTGGAGTCGCCGATCGCGAACCGAAGTTAAAGTCAAAATCGACTTAAATAAGATCCCAGCCTGGGCCCACGCTCTTCTAGACGATCCCCGCACCAATCCCTTTCTTTCTTTCTTTTCTTTTTTTTTTTTTTCCTGTTTGCAAGTGGGGAAAGCAGAGTTTTTAATCACAGAGAAGAACTTTCCTGAAGCTCCAGGGCACACAGGCGCTAACATCAGGGCAAGTCTCTCCCCATTTCCCTGCTACTGACCCTCCCGAGTTTCACTGGTGTGAAGTCATCTACCATTTTCCTTTAACCACTAACTCCACGGGGTCACTTTTCTCTCAAATTCACAGGGAGCTCCCCTTTTAAATTATTCCCTGCCCAGTTATTTTTTTTTCCCCTCCAAATTAATCCAGAATACAGTAGTTCCCTCATTTGCTCCACTGCACGCAAACAGCAGAGCCGAAATGAACTGAAATCAAAACGGAATTGAAATGCACCAGGGGTTTCGCGGCAGGAATTGTTTCAACAAGGCATTCACTTTTTTTTCCAGATCCGTTGAAATGTTTAGGTGTGATTTGCATTCTCTCCGACCCTCTGGCCAGTTCCCTCACCCCTAACCGCTTTCATTGGTACACCCACTAGTTTAATAGTTGTGCCTCACTGTTTCTTTGGCGCCATTAAATCCACTTCTTTCTCTCCAGGATCTTGCAACTTCTTCACCTTGCCCTTTAAAAGAGTTACACTTTCCAATAAGACTAAGAGGGGGGAAAAGGACAAGAAATGGATATAGGTTTTGTAAGTGTTAAATAACTTTCTCAGCGTGTATTAAAGGAAGATTGTATTTTATCAACAGCTGATTGATGCAGTCGTGTGATCCTGTCGGTTTGTCTATAGTATCATATTTATTTAACCTGCTGGGGGACTGTGTTCAGGGGCAGCCTGTTCATGCTGACAAGAGCATGCACATTACACACTACCCCAGGTATTTTGATTGATTGTTCCCACCCCAAAGCCTTTGGTTCATAATTTAGCACAGCGGGTTCTGCATCACAGACTAGGTTAAAAAAAAAAAAAATCCTGTAAGAGATTTCAGTGAACAACTAACGCCAACAAACCTCTCTCTACCTGCAATCCCCAAATATTTTAAATGCCTCTGGAAAGTGTTCAGTTTTTATATTTAATAATTACAGGACATGTAAACTTTATTCACCCTAGTTCCCAGCAGAGTGATAAGATGATTCATTTTAAATCTGTGACTTGATCAACATTTCCTTAGTTAGGGGGTGGTATGGAGTTGAAGAAATGATGAGGACAATGTCAAAAACTGTGGGCTTCTATGTTCCTTTCAGTAACAGGCTTGGGGTGTGGAAGCAGTGGAAAGGCAGACAAAATGCTACTTTTTAATGATACTTTACTGAGTGTATTTTGTGGGTTTAGTTCAAAAGTCTTTAGGCAGCAATCTAGATTTTTATTCACACTACTTACCTTCAAGGGTGAAGGATGTTTTTTCTTTAATTTTATAGGTGACTGTTTAGTATGCAGTGTAAACATTCACAATATTTATGTATTTTCAAGTAAATAATCTCAATGGTTTGGGCACATCCTAGGGACTGTAAAAGTTGTGACCTGAAATTAGCATTACCTAGTGCCTAGTCAGCCATACAGTATCAAAGAAATCTGACCACAAAATTTTAGGAGCTATATCACTACATGGGTACATCCCTGAATTATTTTATATTATATATTTTTAAAAAGTTTCTCTTCTTTTCTCCCTACTCCAACCCTCTCTCCCTCTTTCTCCCTCCCTCCCTTCCTACCTACCTACCTTTCTTTATTTCTTTCAGAGCTGAGGAACAAACTTGGAGGCATGCAAGGCATGGAGTCTACCAATGGGCTACACCCCCAGCTCAGAAAGAGGCATATGTGTGTGTGCATGTATGTGCGCATGTGTGTATGTACTAACTAGTGTGCTTTTATTTAATGATTGTTTATGTCAAAGTAAAAGTGGGACACATTTTTCTGTGCATTTTCTTGGATTACTCTTCTTCTGGGTGGTAATTGTGTGTGTGTGTGTGTGTGTGTGTGTGTGTGTGTATGCACATCCATACAAAAGCAGAGTTTTAAACATGCTGATTTCCATGAAAAGAAATGCTATTTACTGTGCTTGGTGTTTTTGCTTTTGTCTTTTACAGATTCTTGAAACCTGTAAAGGACATCTTAGCACCAATATGAATATCTTTGCCTATCAAAGCTTTGTTCTGTGTTTAAGTCAGATGGGATGGTCAATATCAAAATGGTTACTTTCATGGGTATATAATGCTACGGTCAAGAGTGAGAATTCATAGCATTAAAAATGGCTTAGTGCATAATTGCTCACCTGAGTCAATATGTCTAAAACAGTTTTCCTCTTTCAATTCTTGGGTTACTATTGGGGGAAAGGTTACTGTTGTTGTTTTTTTTAAATATACCTAGTGATAGTAGATAATGGCAACATTGAATATTAAAATTTTCTTTCTCATTTTTGTATATTATTCACAAAGTGTAACTTTTGATTTGATTTTTCTTACCTTAAAATGATGATAAAGTTATCAGCCAAATGTGATACACTTTACCCATTCCACTTAGTATATCCCTTTTAAAATATCCCTTATTTGCAATAGTGCTGAAGATTTTCTCATAATTGGGGCAGGTTTGGGAGCTCCTGGTGGTGTGCCTTCTTTGCTGATAATATCATGTTCAGCAACTCTTTTTATCCCTAGATGTTGCTATTTATCTTTATATGATGTTCAATGAGAAAAAGAAGAATATTTGAGAAACTCCAGGAGATGCATCTTTCTGCTGAAAAAACAGCCATTAACAGAAGTAAGTGCGGATACAGCATCCAGAGAGAAAGAGAAAGGGCAGGCTGGCAAAGGAAATATTTACCCATGACCTCATGGCAGCCAGGAGCACGAAGGCAGACCAAACAAGAAGAAGGAGAGGACAATTTGTTCATGGCGAACATCACAAAAGCTAAAGAAGTTCTGAGACACCCTGTGAATCAATTTGTAGTCATTTTCCAAAATGTCTTAGAAATCATTGCTTTGCATTGGGAATAAACCTTCTAAAACCATCCACTACCAGGTTTCTTTAATAGAATACTATGTACATTATCTGTAATAATGAAGAAAATAATTTCACGTTTCCTGGGGAGTCAAATAAATTGAATGGGATCCTATTTATTTTCAAGGGGACACTTTGAAAATATTTAAAGCATGCTCATACATATGTGCACATATAAACTTCTTTGAAGTGTGGTTACTTCCTAGCTGTGCAGCCCTGGGCAAGTTACTTAATTTCTCTGTCCCTGAGTTTCTTCATCTAGTGAAATAACAATAGTACATTCATCAGGGGTTGCTGTAAAGATTATGTGAGTTAACTCATGTGAAATGTCTAAAGCAGAGCCTGGCATGCAATAATTTCCAGTCATTCACCAGCTATTATTTATACTGCACAATTTACACTAATGTCTTATTAATATCACTATTGATAAACAATGTTTGTAATCTGTTCACCTATAATGTTGTGACCAGACTTGAAAACTTGAAAATTCGCACTGTGCCAACATTTCTCAAGAGGCAAAATGATTGATCAGTGGATCACTGGACTTCTTGTGTCACCAAGTCCCAGCTACATTAAGCAGCCATATATGTAAACACTGAGCTAAAAATGCAGCTCCAGGAAGTGATGCGAATGCTACTAGAATGTCTGTATACCAAATGGCAGGCCAACTCTACCAAGACCCCCCACCCCCAATTCAAACAGCTGTGTCACTTGCTGTCCAGCTAAGGATGTAGTAAGGATGCAGCCGTACTTCTTCATCACATTTGCCCAATGCTAAGGACTCAAGGCCCTCATGGCACATCTTAACATCCTCTGTTAATGATGCCTCACATGTTAGTGATATTTTAAAATTCTTTCTTAAAAGCACCCTTTTGGGATATGCATTTTACATGAGCCACACACTATACTTTATGAGGTTACTGAAGTTTAAGTCTAACACAAAGGCATACATCCTAATAATATGTCAGAATGTTTACTAAAAATTACAATCTTGATGTGAAAATGAATGGATTGAAATAATAAAAATTTCCCGACCTATATGTTGAATTTAGGAATTAAGATAAAACCAGTTTCAATTAAAAATGATAACACTGTTGCCTTGACTCTGAAATATCTTTCTTATTGTGTTTGAGCTGGTCTACTGACTCTTTCCACAGTGACTTGAGATCAGAGCTAAAGTGAAACTGGTGTTTGAAAGGTGGCTAACAGTACCTTGTCCTTTTCTTGAAGTCACCCACCATAGACTTGTTTTTGTTAAAGATAGATCGTAGAATAAGTTTTCATTTCTTCTGAATAGTTTTCATTTCTTTAAAAAAAAATTTATTGGTGCAAAATAATTCCACAGAATAGTGGGTTCATTATGGCTTATTTGCACATGCATCTTACATAATTTAATCAATTTAATTCCCTAGTACCTCCCTTTGCCCTCTCTTTCTCCCTCCCTCAATCTTCTTCCTTGCCCTACTGATCTCCCTTCTGTTTTTATGAGAACTCCTCTCCTATTCCCTCCTTTTCTCTTTAGTTTCCATATGTGAGGGAAAACATTTGACCTTTGACTTTCTGAGTCTGACTTATTTTTTTTAACATGATACTTACAATTCCATCTGTTTTTCTGCAAATGACACAATTTCATTCATTTTTTTGTCCCTCCTCCTATTAACTGATGCAAACAAGCCCAGAGAGGAGATGGTATTTTCTGACATGTGTGATTATTAACCTTGAACTTTGAACCACACCCTTCTTCTCTTTCTAGGGTGCTCGGTATCATTAGAGTTTGCTTCTACTCTGCATGTACACCAAAAAATGGGTGAAATCCTGAGAAACTAGACTTTGTGTGAGGTTAAGATCCTGCAAACCAGCCATGGACTTACACAAGCTGATAAGATATTTCCTTCTAATTATCATCAGTTGCTT